ACTTTGCAAAGACATGAAAACACCTGCAGTAACCGACACAAAAATAGCATTTTTAGAGTGATGAAATAATTGCACTTAACTGTCATGGATATTAAAGTTATCACACATATGTACCGCGAAAGCTAGAATACATTTTTTTTTTTTACAAAGCACTTTATAAAAAAATTCTCTGCACACAAAACCTATAATTTTCATATTACTATCATACTAAAGATAAATTCACTTTAAAGCCAACACTTAAAACATTTTAAACAAAAAAAGGTACCAGTACCTACACACAGACAATAACAAATACAAGAATACTGTACTGCCAAGAGGTTTGACTGAAACTCCTTTTGAAAGCTTCTGCAAATATGTTACGAAAACATTGGAGAACATTCACTTTTTTCAAAGAGCCTTCCCTCCCTGTCTAACCTAGAGGTACTTTATCATCAAAAGGCAAGTTCTACATCAAAAGTTACCAGCAGCAGTACAATATTAAAGTAACCACTGACCATATATGAATATGCTTAAGTCACAAACCCATTTTATACACATTACACAAATAAACATAAAGTGAGAATTCCATTAAGTCATTTACAAATGTGAACAAATGCACATGGCAAAAAAACCCCAAAACAAAACAAAAACCCAACCTGTTTTACATAAAATGTACTGAAGAATTAAAGGCTATTCAGGTTTTCAATGTTATAAAATTCTTCTGTCTTTTTTTTTTTTTCAGGCACATATTGTATTTTTTGTCTGCAGTCATGAGCCTGAATCAGAGGCCCATAAAACAAAACAAAACAAAAACAAAAACACATATTCTGTAAGGAGGTAACAGGGATCCATCTCCTTTTAGTCAACTGAGTGCATTTAAGATTTAATTTACACACTAAAACTAATTACATGATCTCAGCAAGAATGACCTGAAAAGTTAAAAGGATGAAGATGTCCAAAGTGTTTCTTGTACTTTGACTTACCCAGCCTCAATCTTTTTTAGGGGGCTAAACATCTCGTTGTGAAAGGCAAGAGGGGGAAAAGAGATCATCCTGAGAAAAGTACGAAACTGGATTCTGTTATACACATCTGCTGTGCGACCGGGTACGTGTATCAGTATGGGTCAAGTAAAGGGTAGACAAAAGGTTTCTCAGTATGAGTGCATGAGTGATCCAGGAAAACTATACGGGGAACTGCTTCAGAAAGCAAGTATGCCCTAGGACTTGCAGTGGAAAAATAAATAGATACGGATTAGTACGTCAAATGCTGTATCTGCCTTGAACTGGCCAGTTACTCACATTCAACATTAATGTACACCCTTCATTATTTCAAATAGCCTATGCCGTGGAGGTTTTAACGGAAGAAGCTACTGCCAAACTTAATGAGCTGTAGCTGCGGTAGGAAGGGAAAGCGAGAAACAGGCATTATGTCTGCAATTCCTTCAAAATAGTGGTGCAGTACCTAAATAAAATCGTTTTGGAATTCAAGTAAGTAAAACTACATTTGTTAGTAGCAATTTTTAACAGCCCCAAATGGTACCGTTACGCTTATTTTAAGATTTTAATGAGACAGAACTGTAGTCTGTCACAAATATTGACTAGTACAGCTGAAGTGCTTGATAATAACTAAAAATATATGCTCTACTTGTGGGGCGAAAGTGTCTTTGCCCTACCTCAGTCTCATTGAGTTCAACAGGATTACTTGTCTTATAGAGGTAAGTGAGATTTAGACCTTGAAGGAATAACAAAAATAATATTTTAGAGACAGGGAATTTGAATTATCACAATATTTACCACACAGTGTCACAATATTTCTATATATAAAAAGTTAATCTTAGTTTTCATCAAATACTTTAAAAATCAAGTTAAAATTGTATTCACAACTATATAATCCCTCTGACAGCTTTTGGTTTTGCTGATATTTGTTCTTTCTAACATCGTTTTCTTAAAATCTTGCTCCTCTTCCCATTGATTTTAGTTGTAGTGTACAGTATGGCCCCCGTTCACAGCAGGTATCAAATACAGACACATTATTAAGAGGAGCTAGTTGTTTGGGTTTTTTGTTGGTTTTTTTTTTTTTTTTCCAAGACATCATCTGGGAGAAAAACAAAACAAAACAACCCTGTGTTTTCAATCGTGCTGGCCAGAGTTTCCCTAACAGCACCTTCATCCACAACGCTCACACTCAACATTTCAATGCTTAAAAACACACAATTGCATTGACCCTAGCTTGTCTGTTCTCCATTTTCAGCTTCTTTTATGCATCTGACTTTCAGCATGCACAACTTTGTAAACAAAATCCTCTGTCTAAACAAAAAAATCTTCACAGATACCGAAATATTATTAGAGGAGAACAATAAAGTCGCATTTGTCCACTGTCTGAAATTCTGCAGTATATGGAGATCTCATTATGCAGATGCACGACCGGATGAAGAGAATGTGAATGTGAATCATTTTCATTTTTATATCACAGACAAATCAGTTGCTGGTTTGCAATGCTGTCAGAACTAGCAAACAGTAGATTATTCTTCAGCAGGTTGATCATTAGCAAAATTACTTTGCTATAAACGGTGCTCTTTTGTGAATGGAGGCCTGTAGATTCAACTTATTCCAGTAAACCAAAGGCATTACGGTGATAACTAAATATTTTTGGTCTCTCTACAAATTGTCATTATTATGGCAGCACTTTTCTAAGCTGGAATTTCAAACCAAAGGCACTTTCATGCTAGAGTGCAGAAGAGTCATAATTAATTATTTGGTCATGAAATTTAAAAAGGCAGCATTTATTAATACAATTCACTTTTCACGGAGAACTTAGAATCTGTAACCTTTCCTTTTGGTATAGACATTTAACTGCGTAGTAATGGGACTGACTTGTACAGAAAGTTGGTTTAGACCAAGCAGTCAAAGAGCGTTTCTGTGGGAAAAAATACAGATATTTTTTAAAATGGAACCAATTAATAAAACAATATATAAAATTTATGTTAAGAGGCTAAAGGTACTTCTAATATAATGCTAAGGCACTGCATATTGTAATGCTTTGGCAGCTCTCAATTAAAAGGTTCTTACAAAAAAGTAACAGTAACAAGATAAGTACTTCCAGCTTACAAAAGAGCTCACAGTTTACAGGCAGCCTGTTGGACTACACACCCCACACTGAACAGTTGAAGGATTAAGGCTTTTAGGAATTAACATATACAGGGTATGGATCATTTACAGAAGTGTAAAGAAAAGACGATGGAAGTAGTTTCCCTAATATTACATATGTGAACACCAATAAACATTGTGACTTTTTATACCCTATAGTTATGGCATATGTAGTGTGCCAGATTCTATTAAAAAAACTGTACCTGGTTTTGCAAATTGACTTACATACTTTATATGCCTCAAAGAGTTTGCTTGTTATTAAAAAAAAATTAATAAAAATCACCAAAACCACAATTCAAACCCTAAATAAAGACAAGTTTAGAACAAAATAAAACAAAAAAAGTAGTTTTTGACTTGTAACACCAAGTGCTTAGAATAAAGGGCTACCGTTAGGCTGTTACAATGCAGTGCTTTTCCTGATGTGATTATTAGTGTTAAAAACGAGTGTTAAAAGAGACCTTGCCATGGACATATTTCTCTGTTCTGTTCACAGAATATAAACCGAAAGATCATCAGCCCTAATATCCACAAGCAGATAACAGCTAGACATCACAGCAATCATCCACCTACTAGAGTTAGATGAGAGGCAGGCTAAGGAATTTAAGCAGTCTCCCTTCCCCCTGGTTGATGTTCGTATCGTCCTCTGACCTGAGTCCTCACCAGTGTTGAGGATGAACCTGGTCTGACACAGATGTGCAGCAACCCGCTAGCTCATCTAGGCTATATTCTAGTCTAGATAATGCAACAGTGGGCAAGTCTAACAGAGGGTACTGCGCAGAAATATCCAAAAATTAAGACTGGCTTTTTTTATGACTACAGCACTGTGCCTGGGAGTAAATTCTAGAGTTAAATTGTGCACGGGCACATACCGGTGAAGGGCAGGGAGGAGGGACCTGCTAAACGTTAACTTTTCTGATTCAGGACTGCAAAAGACCTTCCCAAGAACGCTCTTCACCGATACCTCATGACTGATCTTTAAGGTGGCTTGTGCTTGGCCGGGCAGCCCTCAGCCTTTCAGACAAATGTTTCGTGTGAGGACCTGCTTGCTGGCCCAGCACCTGCTGAAACAACTGCTGCTTGGGCAACTGCGGGGCAGCGCTGGGTGTGCAGCAGAAGAAAAGAAACTGAGCAACACTCTCTGGTGTAGCCAGGAGGAATGAGACTCCTTCTCTCACATGTGCGTATCTCAGACAATCACACTCCATGGTTTGAATCCTTAACAGTATTAAAATATCTCCAGCTGTACTTCACTTCCTGGAGTCTTCCCTGAATATATCAGAAGGATGAATACTACCACATCTGGATGCAAAAGGACATTAGACCCCACATCGTACATACGTGTTTGTTTCATACAAGGTCTTTGCCAGTTGGAACTGGAGAGACAACTGGGAGAGGTGTAAGAGCACCATGATAAAGAGGAAAAGGAGAAAAAAAAAATCTCCACTTTCCAATCTTCTTTGCCTGATGTTGGTTGTGATTTTCTAGCATCTCATAGATATTAAAGCTGTTGATCCTTTCAGAGGTGTACGTATTCTTCTTTCAAACACGTTAGTGTTTTGCTTTCAGTTTACGAATTACTTATGCTGTCACAATGTCAGTTGTTTCCGTTCATCTGTTAATTTCAGAGTTGCAAGTTTTTCACTCAACCTATTAGAAAACATAGTTGTCCATATAAAATATAACTGCACACACAAGACTACATATAATGTGAGTCTAAATCTTCAGTATTTACCTACTTATTGCAAAATGAGCCATCTTTTTCATTAAATAATCAAATTTTCATATTAGTACAATACAACTTTATACTCTTTTAAAATACACTAGATATGTTAAGGGTAAGGGATGATGTTTTCTTTCTCTGCAATACCTGTTTGAAAGTTTAATGGATTAGAAGATTAGTTTTAGCGTTGAGAAAAAAATACAAAATTTGCCTAATTTTAGGACCTGTCTGTTTCTATCAGGCATTTCTTAAGGCTATATTTTTCATTTGGTTTCAAACAGAAAAATGTTTCATTTTAAAAAATAATTTAGTGAATTACATTCGTCCATATCTTCCACCCTAATTAGTTACAAAGATAATTCTATAAAGATTATTAACTTTGTGTACTCATTTACAGTTATAGCTAAAGATTCATTTCAATTTCACTTGCATCGTAAAACAAGTATTTCATGTTGGAAAAAAACCCAAAATAAATTCTTATAAATGCTGTCAGTTTTTCCCCATGGCAAATGCTCTGTCATACATTTTTCTATCAGAATTAAAAATAGGCCTCCACAGACAGAGGCGTTAGGTTCTTAAATACAGTCTTCCCAAAGAACTGTGGTTTACAAATTTGAAGAACACTTAGTTTTAGAAATAATTTTTACAACTGTACCAGAATTTCACAGCTACAATTATATATGAACACATTAAAAATGACTTCACTAAAACAGGATTTAGAAAAATGTGGGTGAAAGTTGGGCCAGAGGCACTGCCACTTAGTGTTGAGGTTTACAGTCTGTGTTTTGATAAGTGAAATGAAGTGTATATATAAATAACTGCTCAGTCCTTTACAAGCCTGTAGATATGATGCTGTGCTCCATGTTCGCTGTTCGACACTTCAAATACACAAGCCATGCAGAGCAGGGTTTCTTGTGTATCCCTGTTTGTTACAACCTGTATGAGGGGAAGGAAGAGGTAGACAGTACATTACAAGCCTGGAAACACCAGGGCCAAACTAAGAAACGACTGGCTTAAATTAGCTGTGACTGTTTGAAACGTGCATCCTTTCACGCTCTCTTTGGCAATTTACACTGACCTCCGTGACTGCGCTCATGTACTGTGTTCTGGGGCTGTGCTGTGGGGCTGTAGCTCCCAGCTGAGGGCCCTGACATTCATCCCACCCTGGCTGCTTGACCATCAGCGGCCATCGTGTGGTCTTGGCTCAGCCTTCCTCAACCTGAGCCCCACTTAAGCAAAGCCAGACCAGTGCACCCTCATCACCTTGTGTTCGTTTGCCAAAAGGCAGCTGAGTGAGGTGCACATGGCTCTGTGCTCACAGCCCCTCCCTGTGCCGTCAGCCCTTGGTCCTGGCCAAATCCTACTGTCGCTGCAGCAGCGCATGGCTCGAGGTGCTTGGCTGAGGTGCCACCACCACAAAGCCACAGTGAAAAGTAAGCTGGGTAACTGGGGGGAAACTGGCTTAAAGGCCACTATGAGGACTAGCCTTCATGCTTTAGAGCACCCATTGGGTGTACCCACTACTGCATGCTTTCCTCACCCAAGAACTAATTAACACCACTGACATTTGCAGTATTGTAACTGGCATCTCAGTGAGAACCCATTGGCTGAATGGCTGAATTGGGTGGTTCAAAGTTACTGCCTCAGGCGCACTACAAAGGCCAAATAGAGACTTGCATGAAAAAAAGAGAGAAGTAAGATGAATTTTTGGAAAGTAACAAAGATGTCTGTTCACATTCTCAGCCAGCTTAGCCTTTTCATCCTTAGCGTCTATAGTGCACAATTCCAAGAGTATTACTCTGAAGTCAAGCAACATGACTAAGAGATTCAGAAACTGGTTTTAAATATTACAAGTTAAGCAAGTCATACAAAGCCTGAGAGTATTTTAGACATGGAAACATAAAAGTGAGTCCATACCAATAAAATTGTAAAATTTTCCAATACGCTGTTCATCATGTATTTCTCTGGTAAATGCTTCAGCTTGTGTATGAAGTTGATCATATATTCACACATTGGAGAGCGATTTATTCTGTACACAAATCGACCATTCTCAAATCTTGCATATTCAGTCTGGAAAAAAAAAAAAAAGATCATTTAGAATAAGATAATTCAGAAATAGCAAAAAAGTGAATACTAAATCTGTTTTTTCTTTATATAGACAGAAAAAAGTGAAAGTGGCTCTCGGACACTCCTTCCACTTGCTAACTCCTTGCCTGAGCTATGCAGTGCCTTGCTAACAATTCAAGGGCCCTTAATTATTAAAAATTATAACATCACTACTTGTTCTCTAATCTGTGAATTAAAAAACTGAACAGATGAGGATTAGAAAAAGGTAAATCCAAGTCAATTAGAAATGAATTAAGCAGAAAGCTTTGTGGTAAGAAAAAATACTATTTTACAGTAGTTTCAAGGCAACTATCTGCAAAGGAAACAGCAAAAATAAGCTTATATATTTATGTATAAATATACACATATAAACATAGCTATATTATTGCATTATTTAATAGGCAATTTATGAATTACAGAAAGATGCAAGACTACAGTCGGAAGAAAACCAGACTGATTTAGATTGCAGGGGCTCACAAGAGGCTGAAGGATGGTAAGGCTGTGACTCTTGGACTCTTGCTGCCCAGCTACCGATTGCTCAGATCAGGTACTCAGTGACTTTGAGGTTTTTTGGTTTTCTCTAAGCTTGGAATAATGAAAATGATGGAAAACTTTTTTATGGTCACCATGCCCAGAAAACATATTTAGTATAAGAAAGACATGAACAGTGACCAGGACATCTATAAAGGCTCAACCTGTAGCTCTAGGCTAAAATTCCTGTACAAAAACTATAATGCAGGTAACAGATGTGGGTGTGGGGCTTACTACACAGAAGACAAGTTAAATAGCTGCAGTACCATTACAGAATAAACCAACTAGCTTAGAAAAGAAAAGGTGAAAAAAAGGCCCGTGCATGTTAAGAAAATATGCAACTTTGTATTCGAAAGCTACTGTTGACTAGGGAAAGCATGCCTTTCTGTGCATAAAGTAAGATAAAATATGCATGGCTATAGGAGAAACATAGTGCACCATCCATGGCTTTGAGATAAAAAAATCTAGATGATAAGAGGGTAGCTCGTCACTGTAGTATGGTTCCAAACAGGCTACATGAATGGCCAAGTGTTTGGAAATGGGAGCAAAAGCGTTGTTGCTTCAGCTCCTTCCATCCAGGTGACATCCAGGAGGAGGTGGCACTGATGTCAGCTGCAGGTTCCCCACTGAAGGGTGCCACAGACAGGGTGGAGGAGGGTCTCCAAAGCAACAGGTAACTAGGATTTTAATTAACTGTAGTGTCACCATTCACGTGGTGATTTAAAATGAACCTGAACACTGCTGGGAAGGAAAATACTCTTTCAGGAAAGATTAGAGGAGGGAAGGAAAAGACAGATAAGAGCAAAGTAAAAACAAGAGAGAGAAAAGCCTAAACAAAATGAAAGGGAACCAGAGAAGCATCCCACACATCCCATCACAACACCCACCTCTACTTTTTCTACTACTTGCTTTCCAAATGAGCAGACTTTGGTGGAACAGGTGATTGTCATGTTTTCTGAGCTCTCGTACTGACTAGTGACTCCGTAAAATGCTCCTGTATCATCTTGAATGTTGCAGTTTAAGTCAGCCTGTTGGGAAAAAGTAATAGACGTTGAAGATTTTATTTTTTATTTGACAATGTCAGTAGTATAATTTGTGATTAGCTCACTGCTCTTTTCAGAAACAAGGGAGAGGGGTGGGAGGAGTTTTATAGTGACCACAGTTACAGTCTGTCAACAAAGTACCTGCCTAATTGTTGCAGTAAAAACCTTAGGGAAGTGGTAATTTTTTCAAACTTTAAACAACAAAAGACAACCCAGTATTTCTCTGGGCTACAGGTGACGCTCTTGTCTGGCAGATAGCTGATGAAGTCCCCGGAGCAAAGGGAACGATCACCTGCGCGGAGCCTGCCTCCAGAGCTGACTCCTCTGGAGAGAACCTGCCCTTCAGCCTCGAATTCAACTGAGCCATCCCGCTCCTGAGGGGCCACAGTACACGTTCTCCTTTTCCTTTCTCAAAGCAACGAAATCCTCACGGCAAAGGGAGGCGGCTGCGCAGAACAGGAAAAGATCTCTGAGACGACTGTCTCAACCCATATGGCCCTGATCCAGCGAAATGCTCGACTTCTCGGAGCTGCATGACACAACTCACAGGCTTCACACAAGCCGTGTGCGCGCGGAGCCTCCGTGCCTACCGCACCAGCAAAACATTACTGAAAGTATTTGATTTCTTCCAGTATTTCTCTGCAGCCTCCATAACTACCCGGCTGCCTTTGATTTCTCGTAACAGAGATTGAGACTTGCAGGATCAAGTGAGGAACAGTGCTACCTTTAATTATTTATATCCAAATCCAAGTTCAGCACAGCATGATTAATTTGGCTACAAAGCGACAGCACAGGTCACATGCTGAATCCAGCCTCCCCAGCAGCACTGAAGCTGTTCTGCCACTGTGCTCTTTGTCATCACGAATCCATTTTCAAAGCCCTCAACTTGAAAGAGCACTAATATGGACACAGGCAGAGTCTAGGGATATCCGCAGCTGGATTTGTTGATTCAGGCATTAGCTCTGCTGACATCTTTGGTGCCCAAGGAGAGAGTGGGCAGGGTTTTCTTTTTAGGTGGAAATAGCTCATCAGCTACTGCAGCGTAACATCTAAGAATCGCCTGAATTTTTCACTTACTCCGAGATGAGCATTTTAGCAGGGAAACGCATGTTCGCAGCTGTTTCACTTGCAAGTCTACCTCTGCTTGTTTTTACTGCTAATACGGAAAAGTAACAAATATTTTTGACAGATATTTTCACGTCTACCTTGAGACTTTTTAAAAACTCAGTTTACAGGTAGGTTTATTTACTAGTTAGCGTGGAACATTTACAATCCTGCCTTCACTACAGTTCAGGTCATTTGTAACTGCTATTTAATTTTTAACTAGGCAACAACTCATTAATTCTACTTAGTGTCTACAGTCCTTACTTGTGGTACAACATACTGAGGCAATATGCTGGTAATAGCGCACACTGAGCTAGTTTGTGGTAGGGAGAAGACACAGGTCTAAGATTACTTCAGGCTGGCTTTGGTAAATTAATCAGTGGAGAAGCCTCCTGAGGTTTACATACAGTAACACAAACAGCCCTACAGTCACGTATTTTGCATAACAGAAAGAAATCCTATCGCTATTACAACTTGTTTGTTGCACATGTTTTGCATGAGGTCAGGAGTTAATGTTTAATGTACATCTAAAGCAGCGTGTTTGCAGTGAGCTGTAAGAAATTGTTCTAAGCTAATAGTAAATAAGCAATTTGCCATCACAGCTGGCTTGCAATCAAAACATGACAAACATCTAAACATGACAAAGTGTAGCAGCCATCAGCCATGCCACGGCTGCTCCACTGGAATTTCTGAAGAAAAGGGATTTCTGAGAAAGCAATTGCATTGTTGTAAAAAAAAAAAAAAAAAAAAAAAAAAAAAAAAAAAAAAGTAATAATCTCTTAAAAAGTGGTTATCCCTGCTGCTACTGCAATTACAATTTTACTATCAAAACATTTTCTTTTTTTTCCTTTCAGATTCAGACAAAATATTTAAAGAAATCATAACTAAAATGCTCCTCACAATTTCATGCTGTCAAAAGGGTCAGCTGCATAGATCTTACATTTCAAGCTGCAATAACAAGTGTTTATAGAGTTAAAAAATAAGAATAACTTCTTATCTGCTGCCTTCTGATTTTGAAGCCCACTGAAAGAAAAATCTAATCGTTGTATTTACATGCTGACATTTAACCTGGAAAAGTAACGCCTGTGGCCATCTGGCACCCTGTTGATCACTCCCACAGCTTGTACAACTCTTGCTGAAATCACCAGGAGTCCTGTGTACACAAAAAATACAGGCTGCGGCCCTGATATTTGAATGAGGAACGCTTGCAATTACCACGCAAATGTCATGATTTACTCTTATGCAATCATGACATTGTTGCAAAAGTCCCATGATGGTAATATACACGTGAATTATCTTTATTTGCTTTACTTGCTATTCTCTTTTTTTTTTTTTTGAGTCTAGCACACAATAAAGGTGTTTTCAAGGAAAGACAGAATTTTCCTTTTAAACAACAATCTTCATGTTCAACTAATTACAAACTGCTGAGAGCTGAAGCTTTAAGACTCTTCCAAAAAGTGTAACACCAACATAAAAATCATAAGAGTTGGCAATGGCAAATACTCTTAAACGAAGGCTTCACCAAAGCTTCTTTTAATACTGAAAGAATTTTCTCTGTTCTCACATACTATAAAAAATCTTGCCACTCAGTCTGGGGTCAAATTTTTTCACTAGAGGCCAAATACATGAACATTAGTCAGGAGTGCATATCATTGTGAAGAGGGGATTGTCACTTCAGGGAAGTATTCTGAACCAGGTGTTGAAAGCTTTGTTCCATGTTGAATATCTTTAGAAAAGAAGGAAAGACTATCAATTCTAGTAAAATGCAAACCTTTGGTTAAAAAAAACGATGGTGAAGGACTTGCTAATTATATTGTTGTGGCTTACATAGTAAGGGTTTGCCTAAACACTAACACCTGAAAGTAAAATTGTGTTTCTCAAACTGATGAAAGCAGGTCACAATTAAAATTCAGGGGATTTCCCCCCCCCCCAAAAAAAGATTATGATACTACCAAAAAAAAAAAAAAAAAAAAAGGCTGTGGTAAAAATGGGCACTGCTGTGGCTATAAGAGTGTAGATGTAGTTTTGAGCAGGAATAAGGTGATGTGTTACCCTGGTATTCAGTTTTAGCAGGCTCTGTACTACAGTATTGATTCCAAGTTTTGTGTCTACATTTTAGAAAGGATGTTGGAAAATTGGAAAGTGTTCAGAAAAGAGTTACAAGAATGATTTCAGGTCTGGAAAACATCCTTTGTAGTGAATGACTAATGAAACTCCATCTACTTACTTTTTCCAAGGGAAGTTTTTCCACGACTTTGTCATAGCCTACAAGTTGCTACATGGGGAAGAGTCTTCTGATAGATTAAATCTTGCAGAAAAGGACATTAAAAGACAGAAAGCTAAAGCTATGCAAAAGCTAAATGAGAAACAAGGCAAAAGCTGGTAACCTGGTGGCAAGGAGATGCTGGCATAATTTTCAAATGTGGTGGAATCACCATTACTTGGGGTCTTTTTTAACTGAGCTTAGTATCTAACTAACAGGGATGCTCCAGTTCAAGTAGGCTTATTGTCCAGAGGCAGACATTAGTTAGTGAGGTTCACTGCCTATATTACAGAAGAGGCAACACTAGATAAATATAATAATAGCAAAATTGAAATATAGGAGTTTATCTTATTAGCCTCAATTAACCTTCTCCTTATAATTTCCTTTTTCAATGATCCCTGTGAAAAACGTGACAACAGTCAAGCTTCTGTAGCGCTGTGCTTGCAGCCTCTCATGCTGCAACCAGCTTTGTCTCATTATTGCCTTGGTAGTCTGTCTCTAGCTGTTCTCTTGCATTTCAGTCTCAGATTGCAAGTCTTCCTGGGCTGCAAACCAGCTTTCCCTTCTATACAGCTCCTCATGCAGCTATGCTCTGACCCATGGCTCCAGGAATTAGGGTTGGTGAGCACTATTGTAGCATATACAGATAAATAACCTCTTGAATGGTTGTTTCAAATATATTGGCATGATTTCAAACATTATGGCATATCAAATATTATGGTATGATCACATGTGATGAACAGGAGTCCATTTACTCACTGAATTTTAAAATATAAGATCAATAAAATTTAGGCAAAAAAACCCAAAACTTCAAAACACAAATGGAATATATATATATATATATATTTACTTTCAAGAGTGAAACTCTAATTTTGATTTATTTCTGAGAGATGAGATTTAAATTAGCTGAATGCATTTGGGGGCGGGAGAGGCACTCAGCTTTCTGGCACCCTATCTACAGTGGTTGTGTAAGAGTATGATTAATTCATTAATAAAGCATAGCTTGACAATGGGTAGCACTGAAAATATTACATATTAAGAGCACCAAATGTTTGACATGCTGCACAGAGAAGCCTCTGCCAGTGTGCTGGAGCAAGCACCAAAGCAGAGCTGGCTGCAACCAAAATAAAGAGTAAAAATAAAAATAAAAATAAAATTATTCTTCGCATTCACTTCAGAAGAGCTCTCAGGCTCTGTGTCAAAGATGGGGGCAGAGGGTAGAGCGCTTGTGTAATAATAACAGCTTTGGCTAACAAAAAAGCAAG